GGACGCGGGGCGGCAGCGGGGCCCGCGGAGGGGGCGCAGCCCGAACCTTTCCCCCGGCCGGGGCAGGGGCTCGGCGTCGGGCGGTGACAGCGCGGCGGCAGGTGCCACCGGCCCGCCGGGTGATGGGACAGCGGCGCGGCCGTGCCACCGCCACGCCGGGTGATGGGACACCGCACACGGCCGTGCCACCGCCACGCTGAGTGATGCGGCCACACCGGTGACACCCGCTGACGCCGCCACGCCGGGTGACACCGTCACACTGGGTGAGAGCAGCGCGCGGGTGGCACTTACTCCGGTGGCACAGGCGGGGTGGCATGCTCAGGAGAGGGTGAAGGGAGCACCCACTGCTCCGGCTCCGGAGTGGCAGCGGGCATCCCGCCTCAACCCAWGGCTCCTGCTCCTCACGCTGCTCCCAAAGGTGATGCCAGCCGTGCCGAGCCSAGGACATCCCCACCACGCGTCCCCATCACCGCGGGCCCACGGCCTGGGGACCCTGGCCGGGCTGAGAGGAACCCGGTGCCTCCAGGAGGTGCCGGGGCCACCACGGAGCCACCGAGATGCAACTTTGTGCTGCATCGAAGCCTCTGCCTTCCTTATGTAACACGGCTGCTGCTGGCACGGTGCTCGCCTCCACGTCCTGCACAACTTCGGTGCAACGTGGAATTGATCTCCGCTCCCTGGAATGGCTCTGCTGCTGTCATTAGCTGAGGAGCCTTTTCTGGGATCTCAGGCCGGGGTGCTGGCTGTGACCCACCTCGGTGCGGCGCCGTGGCTGGGAGGTGACAGCACCCACTGGGTGTCCTGTGCTGTCCAAGCCACGCGGGGTCTGTGGGGAGAGGTGCCGGTGTTTGGGGCCCTGTCCCAGTGCTGGCACAGCCCCTGTGCAGGTGGCTTTGGGCTGGTTTGCAGTGGGGTGTCTGTCCCAGCACGGGAGGCAGCTCCTGGGCTGGATCCCACAGGGATTGTGCCCAGAAAACCCCAGGGCTCTGCAGCCCGAGGCTCCCAGGTTCTGGGGTCAGRCAGGCTGCGTGTGGGCACGGGGGCTTGGATTTCTTGCTGCTGGGATGGTTCCTTCTGTTCTGCCAACATCCCTGGAGCAGCAGTGGGGCCGTGTTTGTGCCATGCCACCCTTGCAGGGTGTGATTCTGACTTGGGGACCCCGCTGCTGTCAGATCACCCAGCTCTGTCCCCTCTGTGCCTTCGCTTTGCCATCAGCTCTGACYGAGCGTGGCTGCTGTGCCTGAGCAGATCCCYGCTCCCCTTGTAGGGCAAGAGCCACCCTGAAAACAGATGACCCCAGGGCTCTGGTGCCTTCCCCAACCCCACAGGGAGCACAGAGGTTGTGCTGGCCTTGGGGGACACCCCTGGGACCGACTCTGTGGTTGCACCYTGGAAACTGAGGCCTGGGGAGGAGAAGCGGGAGTGTCTGGAGGGATGCCAGCCGTGGAGATGGAGGAAAGTTATCTTGAGATTCCCGGGAGGCTGTGACGTGCCACGTGGACTGCAGATCCTGGGATGGGGCATGCAGGCAGYGTGCTACAAGGAAGGAGGGTGGAGGTGTGTGGATGTCCCTCCCTGGGGTGTAACGCTGCCCCAATCTCAGGTGTCCAGCYCTGAAGCACGTCCCTGCTGCAGGGGCAGATCCCATCTGCAGCCCATCCCCATCACCATTGATAAGGAAATGTGCCTGGAGAGGCTGCAGGACCTTGGCAGGAAGGGCTGGAGAGGGTTTGGATGGCTTCCCTGGCTCATAAACCCATCCTGCTTCTTAGAGCCAGTGCTCTTACTGATGAGCTGGTGGAATCAAGCAAGCCAACCTGACYTGCCCTTGTTGCCACCACCCTGACCTGCTCCCGTGGCCCTGTGTTGGCCCTGTGTCCATGTGCCTCTGGCTGAGCTCTGGGCTCTCTCACAGCTCAGTCTCTGGAGGGAGAATCACTTCAGAGCTGTTAGATGCAGGGGATAAGCTGATGTGCTGCCARATAGGGCTGCGAAGTGTCTACTCTCCGTGTCTATTCACTTAGCAGCCAGATTTCAGACATGATAAGGCATCAGCTTAGGAGAGAAACTGGAGGATGAGCAGGAGGGGAGATGGTCAGTGGGGCAGTGGGAGGTGAGGTCTGGATCTCCCTGCTGCCTTTCATTTGGATATTTGTGGAAGACGCTGTYGGGAGCAGTGTGGGGTTTGCTCGGTATGGGACAATGGTGGGCTCCTGGGCAGGGAGGGCTCCTTATCCACAAGCCCATGGGGCAGCTTKCTCCCTAACACCTCTGGGTTTCTCTCCCCAGAGCCTCCCTTTCAGGATGATGGGTCCAGCAGCACCGGCAGGGACCCTCGGGRCACGTGGCTGCTGACCAAAGGGTGCTGGCGTGCCCCACTGCCGATGCAGAGCTCYCGGGAGCGCAGGGCAGAGCTCATGGCAGCCCCTTCCCGCCGCGGCCCAGCCCGGCTGCATGGTGTGGGTGCCCCTGAGCCCCACAAGCAGTAACCACCGGGCCCCTCTGCWCGCTCCCAGCACCACCACCATGTCTTTGGAGTGGCTGATTGACTGGAGCTGGTCCCTGGACGGACTCCGCGATTTCATCGCCACCGGCATCCAGTCTTTCCGCGACTGCGACGCCACGGCCCTGGTGGCCGTCGCCTGCCTGCTGCTCCTGTTTGTATGGTACTGCTACCACGTGGGGCGGGAGCAGCCCCGCGCCTACGCCACGGTGAACGCGCTGATGCAGAGCGCCGAGGCCAACGGGGTGCAGAACGGCTTCGTGTACTGCCAGTCGCCCGAGTGCGTGCGCTGCTCGCACCACGACGGCCTCAACCAGAAACTCTACCACAACCTGCAGGAGTACGCCAAGCGCTACTCCTGGTCGGGCATGGGCAGGATCCACAAGGGCATCCGCGAGCAGGGCCGCTACCTCAACAGCCGGCCCTCCATCCAGAAGCCAGAAGTTTTCTTCCTGCCCGACTTGCCGACCACGCCCTACTTCTCCCGGGACGCTCAAAAGCATGATGTGGAGTTGCTGGAGCGCAACTTCCAGACCATCCTGTGCGAGTTTGAGACCCTGTACAAGGCCTTCTCAAACTGCAGCCTCCCGCAAGGATGGAAAATGAACAGCACGCCCAGCGGGGAGTGGTTCACCTTCTACCTGGTGAACCAGGGCATGTGCGTGCCCAGGAACTGCCGGAGATGCCCACGGACGTACCGCTTGCTCGGGAGCCTCCGCACCTGCATTGGCAACAATGTCTTTGGGAACGCCTGCATCTCTGTGCTGAGCCCGGGCACCGTCATCGCCGAGCACTACGGGCCCACCAACATCCGCATCCGCTGCCACCTCGGTGAGTGTCCGGCACCGTGGCTCATGTGTTGGGAGGGCTGGGGTGCAGGAGCCCCAAGAAAGCCTCCAGCACTCTGTGCTTTTGGGGTTCAGCCACCAATTGCAGCCCTTGGGGGGATTAGATAACTGCTCTGCTTTGGCCTGAGGGAGGTTTTGGGGGCTTTGGTGGCAACAGCTTTCTGAGGAGGGGCCAATGCTTAGTCGCTGGGTTCCTGATGTCCCCAGGGTCCCCAATTCAGCAGCAGGAGGGTTTCACCTCCGCGTGCTGACCCAGGGCTGTGGATTCTTGCTGCTGTGAGATATTGGGCTGGTTTTACATAGGGGTCTCTGAGCAGCCCCCTCTCTGCAGGCAGGTCCCTCTCCCATCCCGGGATGTGGGGCAGCCTGGGGTGCTGCTCCAGGGACGCTGTTGTGCCACTGGCAGCTCCCCTCTCCTGGGATCTCGGGTGCTCTGCATGGGACAGGCGAATGGGGGCAAAGATGCTGCTTTGGGGTCTGCAAAGCTGCACAGAGGGTGGGGCGGSGGGTCCCAGGGTGTCCCCTGCTGCGGGTCAGGCGTTGGGTTGGTGGCACAGTGCTCCCTGCTCAGCGGGCAGGGACGGGGAGAGCCCACGCGGCACAGATGGCCAGGCTGGCACAGCACCGGCCGTGCCGGGGGAGGCACCGCACGGGCCCGGCTGGCAAACACCAAGCGCGCCTGTTCAGCCAACAGCTCGGGTAAACACACCCAGGCGGTGCTGGCTGTTTGTTTGGGAGGGGAATTGTTTTCAGGGCTGATCCCAGGAGTGGCTGAGCAGCTGGGACCTGCCTTTGGTGGTGCTGGGAGGAAGCCTGATCCCTCTCTCTGGGGTGCTGGGGGATGTGCTCCACTCGTAAGGGGCTGGGAGAGGTTCCTGGGAGGAACCAGTGATGTCCATGCTCCAGCTGAACTCACCTGGAGCACCCTGGGCACAGGAATGATGCGGGTCATTCCCTTGTCCTTCCACTGGGACTCTGCATTGGGCCAGGGGCACGCTGGCACCCCCACTTTGGTGTTGGGCACCCCCACTTTGGTGCTGGGCACGCAGCTCTTGCTGTGCCCAGGGTTGGATGTGTTTAAGACACCACTGGCCCTTTCAGGCAGCTGGATCAGCCATCAGTGGGGCGAATCATGAGGATTTACTCCATCCATGGGCCAGGGCAGCATCCCGAGGTTGCAGGTGGGATGGAAGGGCTGCAGGCTGCTGGCTGCTCCCTGCCCACGTTCCCCGGCAGCTCGGCTTCCCCTTTCCAGCATCTCCAGCTGAGGCTGTTGTGCAGGGAAATGGCTTTGGGTTTTTGCAGCCTTTGAAACAGCAGCTTTGTAGTCCCAGCTTTGTCGGGCAGCTGGGAGTCCCTGCTGCGCTCGCTCGCTGGGTTTGGCATCGCTCGTGGATCCCTCCTGCTCGTTTGCTGCATCGTTACCCTTYGGGAGCCACGTGAGCCCTGACCCCTTTCTCTGCCACGGTCACATCCTCGGGGCAGGATGGCTCTGCAGCGTCCCCGGTGTCCCCAGCACTGCGGGGGGTGACAGTCCTGCTGCAGGAGGTGACGGGATCAACCCCGGCCAAACTGCCTCAGCTTGTGCTGGTATTTTAGGAAAAGACCCATTTTATTTTTACGATTGTCCTTCATTGGCCCTTATAGAGCCGCTTCTCTATGAGGATTTTTGTGACCCCTGTGGATTTCCGTCCTTGCAGCCCCATGGGTCACTCTGAGGCAGTGCCTCAGGTGGGGATCRAGGGACAGGGCAGGTCCATGGGGAGCCTGTGGCAGAGCCATAATGGATCCAATTTTCCAGCCCCAGTACAACAGTCCCTRTCACCCCAGCCTTGCCTGGGGCAGGGACATGGCTGCAGGGCTGGGAGAAGGAGCGGACAGGATCTGCCTTTGGTCCTGAAGTTGGAAAACCTCCCAGGAGCCTGGCTTCTGTGCACACCTCAGGGATGTGGGCTCTGGGGACTGGGAAGCTGTTCCAGATATGAAAGTGAGTGCCTGCAGTGCTGAGCTCGCTGGGGACAGCAAAAGGGAGGGGGAAGCAGACAGGGAGCGGGTAGGGGCTGAGCTGCTCCAGGTTTGGGGTTCAGGTCACCCCTTGCCAGGGAGCAGCCCCTCAGCAGCAGCGTGGAGCCCACCTGGAGCTCACTGTTCGCTCCTTGCTGCCCCATGGCAGGGAACCTGGCATGGCCTGACCCTCCCTGTCCTCTCTCTCTCTGCCCAAAGGTCTGAAGACACCCAGCAACTGCGAGCTGGTGGTGGGGGGYGAGCCCCAGTGCTGGGCTGAGGGCCGCTGCCTGCTCTTTGATGACTCCTTCCTGCACACGGCGTTCCACGAAGGTGAGATCAGCGTGTTGGGCTCCTTGGTGTCCCCTTGGGGACTGGGGAGGACTTGGAGGGCAGCCGTGACCAGTCCCTTCTCCTTCCCGCTGCCCTGGCCTGCCCCAGGTGGGAAAGCAGTGCTGTCCCTGTCCCCATAACTGTGCTCCCTGTGTCCCATGGCGCTGGAGCATCCCACACCCCYTCCCTGGCAGAGCCGTGGCGTCCCCTCAGCCTGCCCACAGACAGGAACGGACAGGATCCCCACTCAGGGATTTTACCCTCATGGTGCTGTGGCAGCACCACCAGCCCAGCACGGTGACCCTGTCCCCACACAGCAGCCAGCTTGGGACTCTTCCTTCCTTGCCCAGCTCGGGCTGCGGTGCCATGGCCTCCTCCAGCCCTGTGGCGGCTCAGCACTGACGCTTTGTCTCCCACACCATGGAACAGCCTCACGCCTGCTGGATGGTTCCTCCCTCTGCTGCTGACAGAGGCCATTCCGCTCCAGCTCTCCCGGATTAGCCGGCATTAGTCGCCCGTGGCACAGAGGCATGGAGCAGAGCTGTTCCTCACAGGGTAGGGAGGGCGGGAGAACAAAAGCTGTTGCTTCCACATCCGCGGGATTGGGAAGCACAGGGCCGGGAAGGCTGGAATCAGGCGTGGAGCCCTGGCAGGAGGAGCTTTCACTGCACAGGCCTCCCCGCCCTCACCCTGCGCTTCCATCCCCTCAGGTGCCCCGGAGGAAGGTCCCCGCGTGGTGTTCATGGTGGACCTGTGGCACCCCAACGTGGCGGCGGCCGAGCGCCAAGCCCTCGACTTCATCTTCGCGCCGGGCCGATGACGGCGCCGCCGGGCCTGCTGGGTTCAGGGCGGCTCGGCCGGGGCTTCTCCCGGCACACGGCCTCGGTGCTCCCTCCCGGGGGTTTGTAAATGGAAACCGCGACCCCATCTCCTTCCTCCATCGTTGGCTTCTGGGATTCTTTTCCAAGCGCCGGGGCCTCGGCCCAGCCGGGGCTCGCCACCCCCCTGCTCCTTCGTGTTCTGTTGCTACTGTGTTTTGCGGTGTTCAGAAGTAGAGTAACCAGCCCAAGGGTGTTCGTTTGAATGTAATAATGTAAAAATTCTCGTGGCCATCAAAGGAACAGTACACACACACACACACACACACACACACACCATAACAGCCAACCAGCCTGCCCTGCCTGGCTGCAGTCCCGGATGGATGGACAGATGGACACCGGGGGCTGCGAAGGGCATTGTGCTCCCCCCAGGCTGGGTCTGATGGGCAGGGCATGGCTCTGACCACAAAGAGCCTTCCTGGGGCTCCTGTTTCCTCCTCGGTGTGCCAGCTGGGGGTCCCCAGCCCTGCCACCCTCAGAAACCCCTTTGGTCACCAGGCAGGGAGCAGAGCCCACCGCCAGCCCAGCATGKCAGGAGCCCTGACCTCCACCTTCTGAGGGAACAGCACACACAGCCGTGCTCTTCAGCCTGACCAAGGTGCATCAGCAATTGCCCAAATCCCCTCCTTGCTCTCTTTGCARCCCTCAGTTTTCCCAGCTCCAGCTGGGAAGCCCTGCAGGGGCAGGATGCTGTTTGGGGACAGAGAATGGGGGTTTTGTCTGTCCGTAGGAAGAAAGGAGGTCACCATTCCTTCTACTGCTTCATCTTCTCCTTTCCTCGAGCCAGGGCAGGCACACGCAGCGGCAGCTCCCATGGACCTGACACCACAGGAGAGGCTCCCAAGRGGGGTTAATTCTGCAGCCTGAGCAATGAGCCCCTACCCTGGGGTCCTGCCCACCACGCTTTTCCTGAAATCCCCCAGTACCAGGGTCTATTTAAGGTCTGGGGGCCGGTTTGTAACACCCCCACCGAAGCACAGCGCGTGGTGGATGCTCACAGCATCCGTGCCCTGCCCGGGAGGGACCAGCCCCGTCCCCCAACAACTTCTTTACAGACTTTTCWGTGATCCAATCGCAAGACGAGGCAGAGATTTCAAATACATCTGAGATATTTTTTACACCCGTCTTGTTACAGACTACCTGAAGTGCATGATTTCTACACGCATTGGCTACCTGGACACAGGCCCTGGGGAAGCAGGCTGGCTCTGTCCAAAGGTTGGTAACATTCATACAGTGGATAAGCAAAGATTATCAATAAACAGTTGTGCTGAAAATGCAAYGGGCTTTGCCTGCTGCTCTAATGAGTCCGGGGTCAAGCAAACACTGAGGGGTTGGGTCCTGCTTATCTGGCTGCTGGTGGGGAGAAGGGGCCAGGAAAAAGCAGGAGGGGCAGGGTGGGAGGTTTGCCAGTGATACAGTGAGCAAAGGTAGTGCTTTAAAATACCCAACCCATGGAAATTCTGTCCTGACCAGTCACAGCCTCCCAGGCCTGGATTTGGCCCAGCTGGATAAAGCCCTGAGCAACCTGGGCTAGTGGGTGAATCCTTACCCACAGCAGGGACTTGGGGCTGGGTATTTGAGGTCCTTTCTGACCCAAACCACTCTGGGATTCTGTGATYCAGTGGAGCCCAGGCTGCCAAGGAGCACAGGGAGCATCTCCCACAGCTCACCGGTGYAAGTACAGCTGTGGGTTCTGGCAGTGCTGCTAGAGAGTCTGTCCCCAGCCATCCCCAGGAGCAGCTGCAGGCCCAAAACTCCCCGGACCCTGCAGAAGCCATCAGCCCTGCCAGATCATCCACAAACAAACCATTTCAGGAATTTCTTCCAGCTGCCTGCACTGACACATCAAAGGCAGCAGCTTCCCAGGAGCAGCTCCAGGGCAGAGAGTGCTGCTCAAAATCCCACCCAGCTGCCTGAAAACCAATGCTTGACCCCCTCAAACACAGAACCAGCTTGGCAGGGCAGGAATCGCTCCCCACAAGCCTCCCTGGCAGCATTCAGACAGGCCCAGCTGTTCCTCACACCCTGAAGCTCAAAATGCTCCATTTTTAACCATCCTCTCCAGTGCAGCTGGAGGCTGGGAGCACCAGAGGCTGGGAGCTCTCTGTGTGAGCTCAGACAATTTCCCTCCTGAACAGCACAGGGCAGGTGTGGGCTGGGTGTCCAGTTGTGGTTTGGGTGTCCAGGTGTGGTTTGGGTGTCCAGGTGTGGTCTGGGTGTCCAGGCATGGTTTGGGTGTCCAGGTGTGGGCTGGGTGTCCAGGTGTGGGCTGTGTCCAGGCATGGTTTGGGTGTCCAGTTGTGGTCTGGGTGTCCAGGCATGCTTTGGGTGTCCAGATGCAGCCCGAGCAGCCGAGGGAACAGAGCCAGCCCAGCTGTTCATGGCTGGCAGACGGCTCAGCAGATTGCAGTAGAAGATTCCTGATGGCAGCAGGCAGGAGCATCCATCCCGCTTGTGCTTTGCTGCTGTGCCAAATCTCCCTCCTGTTCCTCTCAGGCTTTTCCTTCCACTTCTCCATGTTTCCTGCCAGAGCACACAGCCGCTTCCCAAGCATCCAGGCAGGATCCAGGCGGATCTCCCTGGGGAGCAGAGCGGGCTGGAGCTGCCTTGTGCTTGCTCTTCCTGGGAATCACAGAGGGAAGCCTCATCTGCTGAGGGCACAGAGAGGACAGGCAGAGCAGCATCTCCTGGAAGGGTCACTTGGCTCAGCTGGGCAGGGAGCCCAGAGCACACAACCCTCATCCCTCCTGCCTTTTCGCAGCCCGCAATGCCTCCTGCTCCCTTCCAGAAGTGTGTCCATCACCTGGTGGAAATGTGCAGGGAAGTCACTCTTTACCTTGTATCATCTCCTACATGGATGTCATTGAAACAGGAGGTCACCAGGGTGGCTCCAGCTCAGGCTTCCCAAGGAGTTTTCACTCCTAYGCTGCCCACAGGATGCTGATTATCCTTCCATGCCCAGGATGGGAGCGGTGCCACACAACTCTGCTCYTGCTGAAATATCTCCTCAGCGGGGTGGCATCTGTACCCAACCACCCCTGAGCAAGCAGCTGCCTCGTCCTCTGGAGTCCTCTGAAATTCCCAGCAATGCCTGCAGAGCAGCCCTGGGATGGCAGAGCGACCTTGGGAAYCATCTGTGCCACAGTGGGACCAGAAACTGTGGCAGTGGTGACCTTCCTGTGCCCAGCTGTGACGCTGGCACAAGCCTGCTCAGCACCTCACCACGTTCACCTGCTCACCATCTCTTGGTGACACCAGTCACACATCTGTCCTCAGGAATCTCCTGAGCAGCTGCTTTGCAGGAATGATTGAACCAACAGGCTCTGCCTGTTCAACCCCAGCCCTGCAGGAACCACCCTTGGCATGGAGCCGAACGGGGAATGGCTCCCACAACCCAGCCCATCACACCAGGAACCACAAAAAGGACACCAATGTGACTCTGGCTGCTGACACGCAGCGCTGGGATGAGCCTCGGAGACTCCTTTATTTCCACAGTCACACTGGGGGTGTGTCTGCACCAGCMGCAGGTTCCAACCCCAGCCAAACACAGATATCCATCCCTCAGTCTAAGCAGCCACCACCACAGGCCCCTGGGCCACCATGGACTGGGGACACTGTCAGGGCAGAAAGGGAACAGCTGCTGAGGGGCTACAAAACCTCTTTGGTCCCAAAARCRAAGGGGCAACTTTAGGGTSAACAAATGGAGCGGTAAGAGCAGYGRAATGAGGTTCTGYAGCAGAAGRGAGRGAGCAYGAGGCTGAGGGAMACTCACACCACCACCACCACCAYCACCACCATCACCCAGCCCCTGTGAGGCTGCAGGTCCAGCTGGGCACAAGGAGGGCAGAGATGGGCTGCCATCACTGACCAGTCAGGCGTGAAGGGACAGGGATGTCCCTCCAGCGTCACCTAAGGCACAAAAACCTCCTGGGAGCGCCCAAAGGGGGACTGTGAGCTCTGSAGCTCTTGCAGCTCTGCTCCTGTGTGAGAACAGGCAGGTGCTKCTAAGCCAGGTAAGGCACTACGTCACAGTAGGATCATTCCTGTGGATTAAAGGATATAAATAAAGCTAAAGCCTGACCAGGGCAAGTGCAGGCACAGGCRGTGGCTGGCTGACATCTCTGAAAGCCAGCACTGCCCGGGGGCTGTGTAACTCACAGCAAGGTGAGGCTTTACCTCAGATCAAGGCACATGGGGAGTCTGCAGAGCACCAAGRGAGTCCCTGTAAAGTCCATGTAAACCAAGCGCCCTGAGACGCCACGTTCTGCCCTCAGTCTTTGGTAAGTGCTATCAGTGACACTCGTGCTGCCCAAAACATGCAGGACAGGGCAAGGAGTGTCCCTTCCTCAGGGCCAGGCAGGCTGGAGACCCTGCAGAGGCAGGGCAGAGCCTCCTGCCTCTGTTGTGACAAACAGCTGAGATGTCCCTTCCTGGAGATGAACATCCCGCAGGGCTGAGCCCTTATCCGAGCAGAGCAGCTCACAGCAGGTTCACCCCGTGCTTCAGCAGCTTCTGCTTGGCCTTGCTGGGCAGGCTGAAGGCGCTGTCRTGCGGGTTGGGGACGCCCGAGTTGCGGAGAGGAGCGCCCAGCTGCTGGAAGTAGGTCTCCTGGACGGGATTGCGGCAGGCGTACACGGCCGTGGAGGCGTTCCTGGAGGGGCAGAGAGAGGCAGTGATCAGCTTTGGGCAAAATTCACAGCTGGACATTGGGGTACCAGGCTTGGAGAGAGACTTTGAGGTGTCTCAGCACGGAAACATGGAGCTGAGCAGGCACCAAAGCCCTGAAGGGCACAGAGAGCCAGACCCTGTTTGTTAAGGGTGCTGGCATCCTAAAAGGGAAAGTGAGATATCACATCATCATTTAGCTGTGGAAAAGCTAAATGGATATCACAGCATCATTTAGCTGTGGAAAAGCTTTATCTTGGAAAGACCTCCAAGACTTTTGAGTTCAACCTGTGACTGAATCCAGCTCAGTGCTCTGGACTGGGTGACAAGGTCTGGATTGGTCACAGGCTGGACACAATGGTCTGGAAGGGCTTTTCCAAAATTAATGATTMTGGGGTTCTGTGTGTGGCTGTGCTCCAAGGATTCCCCTTGCTAGCAGCYCAGGAGCCTGGAACACTCCTCGTGCCCAACATTCCTCCTTTACCACTCTTGCTGGCCACAACCAGATCCCAGCACAGCACCTGGCAGCAGGAATCATGTGTTCAATCACAGGTGTGACAAAGCTCAGGTAAGAGCCAGATTCAACCACCACCAAAGCTGTGATTAAGAACATTAATTAAGACTAAGAATCCCCTCTCCTGGAGTAGTCCCTGCAGGAGGGCTGGCAGGGAGCAAAGCCAAAGACCCTGAATTCCTCCTCAAAGGTTGAAAGCAGCAACTGCTATGTTTGCTGACACCCTTCTGTGACAAGTCTCCATAAAAGAAAGCAGTTTTAGTCATCTTGTTACTCAGGCTGATTCACACATGGAGTTGCTTTTTTCGGGGTAACAGGGAACATGCCAGCTTAGCCACTCAATTTAGKATTGGATTTAAGGAGTTCTCCAGCACTGGAGTGTGTGATTCACATTCCCTTGGCAAGCGGTGCCAGAGCAGYGAAACCATGTAATTCCCAGGAGCATCTTTATTTCATCTTGTTTTGGACAAACAAGCAGGACCAAGTGGGTGGAATCTGTGCACTCCCAGCTCAGCTGAGGAATGGGGTGTCCATCAGCCGTGGCCTGGGGAAGGGCTTTGGATGTCAGGAAAACTCTGGATTTCAGGAAGGGCTCTGGATGTCAGGAACAGCTCTGGATTTTGGAAAGGCCTCTGGATGTCAGGAACAGTTCTGGATTTTGGGAAGGGCTCTGGCTGTTGGGAAGGGCTCTGGATGTCAGGAAAAGCTCTGGATTTTGGGAAGGGCTCTCGCTGTTGGGAAGGGCTCTGAATGTCAGGAAAAGCTCTGGATTTTGGGAAGGGCTCTGGACATCAGAAACAGCTCTGGATTTCAGGAAGGGCTCTGAATGTCAGGAAAAGCTCTGGATTTCGGGAAGGGCTCTGGCTGTGATAAGACCATCCTGCCTGGCGCATCACAATTGAGTTTGCCACGCACATCACGGCGTGTTTCCAACCCAACAGGCCGTRCAAGAAAACAATATCTAGGTTGCCAATTCTGGGCGCCTTTGGCTCCCCGCCGAGACACACATTTATTAGGAACAGCTAAATTTAACACTGCGCCTTAGAACCTTATGGTGCCAGGAACCGGCAATTTGCGAGTGTTACATCTTAATCCAAGCCRTGGCAYYGCTCAGCTGTGCCCTCAGTCCACTCTCCTGGTGCCACTGGAAGCCACAAATCAAAGCAAAGTTGGGGAATAAAGGAATGTTGCTGGTACTTGGGTGTGGTGACAACCTGGCTGAACCCCAGCCAGCCTTGGAAAGGGGTTCTGTGCCCACAGAGTGGTGTGAGCAGTCTTTACCTGATGATCACTTCTGAGGCCGTGGGGAGCTGGCTGAAGTCAGAGTGGATGAGCGTGGCCGCCCTCAGGAAGTGCCGATCCAGGGGCCCAGGGATTTGGGGCAGGTTGGCTGCACGACAGGAGAAAGGGGGTGTTAGAAACACACTCTGCAGTGTGCCCTCGTTCATTGGGCAGGAAAAGGCTCTGGAGCATCCCACAGAGCCTGGACAGCTGCAGGATGGGCTGAAAACACCCTCAATCCCAACAAAGATCTCTCAACAGGGTGTTTTCTCTAGTGAGAAATACTCCTCAGAAGGTGTCTGAGGTGAGAGAAAAGCTTCCTATATACCTCATCCTCCTCAGGATTCCCTCCTGCAGCCCCAGAGGACAAAGCTCACCCGTGAGGACGTTCTGGACGCAGTCGTAGTGTGTGAAGCTGTAGTTTGTCCTGCTTGAGGCTGAGGAGTCCTTGGGCAGGGTCTCCCTCAGGTGCACCTCGAGGCCGTTCAGGGASGCCAGGCTGCTGTGGTACTGCAGGCAGAGGGAAAGGCAGAGCTCAGAGCCTCAGCTGGGCCTCAAATGGGTCTTGGAGGGAGTTCAGGTGACAGAGGGACTGAAATCTTTGTTGTTCTACCATCCAGGCTCCCACCTGGAATGGCTGGGAAACCCAGGAATGGAGGGAAGCAGAGAAGTGACAGCGTTCCCAAGGCTGTGATGGAGCTCTGAGCAGGAGCTGTGCCTGTTCCCTGTCCCTGTCCCTGTTCCCTGTCCCTGTCCCACGCTGGAACAGGATGGGCTTTAATGTCCCTCCCAACCCAAACCAGTCTGGGATTCCGTGACTTGGAAAAGGGCCCTCCAACCTGAAAATCAGCCATTAAGCCACCTGATGCTACTAATTACAGGGAAACGCAAGGCTCCATTAATTTACCATCAACCATTGCTCTCCAGGGCTCATTTCATGTGATTTCCAGCCCCAGCAAGGGACATTCCTGTGCTTACACCGGGCACTACAAACACACACAACAGTGTGCTGAACGAGTGCCAAGCCGCTGTTCTGGATGGATTTTCAATAGCCCAGAGGCCCTGATCATGCTGAGGCTCCCTGGGCACAGGCAGGGCACTGGCAGGGGTCCTCCACCACTCCTGGGAAGATTAACTCCATAATCCTCATCCTGCCAATGCGCTTTCCCCCACCGTGGAGAGGATCAAGCCTTTGTTCGGCGGGGTGGCAGTGCCTGGCCTACCCTTGACCCCATCCACAGAGCAGATTTGCCTTTCTGTGCAGTGAAATGAAAGGATAAGACCTAAAGAGCAGCAGGAGGCGAGGCCAAGGGCCTCTCACTCCACAGGAGAAGTCTGGGATGGAACCTGCCCTCCCAGAGGTTCGCAGCTGCACAAGTAGCATATTTTACCCTTCTTTGGCGTCATTTGGGGGCCCCAAAGCATTAAAAAAAACATTAATTGTAACTCAGCTTTGACATCCCTGAGAGCTGAGGGTCATTTTTAACCTACAGATAAACAAAGGCACAGACAAGCCGAGGTTTTTCCTCAAATCCACCAGAAGCAGAGCCCAGCTGCACCTCTTGGGACACTGCTCTTCCTCCTGGGACAATGGGACACGCAGGGCACCCATCCCAAGGGTGCAGCAAGAGAGCCCAGTCAYAGCTGAAATCTGAGCTGTGTGACAGTGCAGTTTTGGTGAGATCCAAAATCAGAGCACGGGAGATGGAAGCAGGGTGTTTGGGAAAAGAGGAACCTGAATGGGATGAACAGCTTGTCAGCCCCAGGGCAAGGCATAAAGGAAAATGGGCTGTGCAACCCCCCGTGCAACAGGGATTCAGCTCTCCAGTGTGACAATTCCCACCTGCCTGTGTYCCCCCCGCTGCTCCAGACGAGCACAAAGGGGACAAAGTGCCATGTCTGGTGCAAAAGGCCCCGGCAGCACCTCCTGGCTCAGCTGATTTAGCAGCAATCCCTCCCCAGGCACATCCCTGCCGTGCAGAGCAGACATTCCCCAGCTCCCGGCGTCCCAAGCGTCCCACAGCTCTGAGGGGAACCAGCAACCTTGAGGCTCTGCATTAGTCTGAGCTTCCCTCCACCTTCCAGTCTGGCTGGGTAAGGAAATTAGGTTGTTCCTATGGCAACTGGCATATCAAACAGGGCTCTGCAGCTTTGACTCAGCTCCTGGTAGGGAGGCAGAGGCCAGGCAGCAGCTCTGCAGCTGATGCTTCCCGGCAAAGACGGGGGGCTGGCACATCCTGCCCCCGCAGCCCCGTTAGCTCTGCTCACAGGGGAGCCTGGGCACCCAAATCCTGCCACAGGGGAAATTTGGGATTGCTCTGGTGCTGCCCCTGCGCAGTGCCCACACAGCATCCCTCTCTCCATCCCCAGGGAGCAGTCTGGAGGCTCCCACAGCCGAGGGAACCGCTCTGACCTGCTGCTGGCCCCGTTTGCAATGCTCCTCGAGGGAGAGGCTGCGACACACGGGGTGGGGGTTTCACAGAGCCGACCCCGCTTCCCAAAAAACGCCGAGCTGACGGGGATCCCCAGCGAATCCCCGCTCCAGCGCAGGCCCTCGGGTGTCTGTCACACCCCCACRCTCTGCTCCGGTGCCGGCACCGCCAGACAACAGCAGCAGCACYGGGAGCTGCCTGCGAGACGCGGCTGTCCCTGCTCCGCTCGCGCTCCGACAGCTCCCACGCAGCCAGCACTGCCGAGCCCTGAGCTGAGCTTCACCAGCACAGCTCGGAGCAGCTGAGGGACACACGGGGAACACTATCCAATGCTCCTCCCTCAGAGCCCCCCGTGCCCCCCATCAGTGGGGCAGAGCTCTCCCACTCACCACGTCCTCCACGGCGCTGCGGTCCCGGCGGAGCTGCTCCTCGGCCAGCAGCGACAGCACCAGCCCCTGGATGCAGTGAACGTAGAGGCTCAGCTGSGCTGGCTCGCCCCCTCTGTCCCCCAGCCTGTCCCAGCTGCCCTCCCCACTGCTGGGACACAGCCTGTCCCCTGCAGGGTCACYGGGCAGAGCCTCCTGAGCCCCCGTCCTGCTCTGGAGATGTGCGTGGCCAGCAGGGCCTGGAAAATGCAAGCCCCACGCGTGGTCACCAGCTGTGCTGTCACCTCCTCCAGACACACAGTCCTGGCTCACAGTCCATGGCTTGTCCTGCTCACTGGATTTCCTTCTGCTCAGCTCCTGGGCAGGAGAAGGAACAGCTGGACTGTGGCTGCCCAAATGGGAATTTTGGGGAGCGCAGTGAGCGACATCAGAGTCCACAGATTTCCCTGTGTCTCGGCTTTCCTGCTCCCAGGAGTAAGGGTTGGGGAAGCAAAAGCCTTCCAGGTATGGACCTGTAGTCCGAGCACATTCAGTCTGGACTGAGGAAGGGCTTGGGAGCTGCTCTGTGCTGCTCTCTGAGGGGAAAGATGTCTTCCTGTTGAGCTCTGAGCTTTCACTGCCTGCTCCACTCAGGTTTGCAGCTGGAGAGCTCCTTGTGCTGGCTCCTGTTCCAGGGAAGTCCGTCAGAGGACTTGCAGGGCTGCCCAAGTGCACAGCACCTCCCAGGGCAGCTGTGCCTGAAGCCTCCTCGTGGGACTCCTGCACAGAAATTCCATCCAGGGYTTGGTTTTCACGAGCTGCTGTTGGTTCTGGAACTGTCCGGGAGCAGAGAGCACTCCCCTCTCCTCCAGGGCCTGCTGGGGACACAGGTGACCTAGTGRGAGATGAAAAGTGGGTTAAACACTTAACACAGTTATCCCATGGCTGAAAACCCCATTGGCTCCTGCCACCGTTCAATGGCTGATCCACCCCCTACTCCAAAGGGACATGGGAAAAGGATGGGCTGGGGTCTAACACARGAAAATCCTGGAAATCTTACACTGCAGGCTCCTGGGAATGTCCCTCCCTTGTCCCCACAGCAGTGCTGTGAGCTGGGGGACAACAGATCACAACAGAGGGACGAGGGGGGATATGGACACGGGAATTCTGCCGAGCCTGAGGGACCTCAGGCAGCTCCAACAGGGTCTGGGCTAGTCCCAGGGAACACAGTGGCAACAGGGACACTGAGCCTCGTGTGAGCTCATGCTGCAAACCCTGCCCTGGGTCAGGCTGGTTTCCCACCTGGCCATCCACTCCACTGGGAAGTCCCGCAGCGCTGACGCCTCCTCTCCCGTGAGGAACACCGGGATGATGCGGACACCCTGCGGCAGCCGAGACTCTGCAAGAACAGGGTTGAGGATCAATGAATGTGTCCCAGATTAAAAACAAAAACCAAACCTCAGCAGCCCAAAGGCTTCTGCAGGAGCTGCAGGCCTGCCATGATCCTGCATCTCATCCTTTTCCCATCCTCCCAGCATTTTCCCATCSTGCTCGTACCCTTCATGCCTGACACAGTTAAATTTCCCCTCAGTGTTCCCATCCTGGCARATCATCCCCAAACTGATGCTGAGAAGGGATGGCTGGTGGTTTGGACTGCGAGCATCAGCCATCTGTTGTCAGGGGCTGGCAGTGGCCAAGTGGCCACGTGGGGAACTGGAATTAAGGCAGGCATGGCTGGGAATCTGCAGAACTGGAATATAACCCAAAAGAGCAAACCCAGCAGAAGGAGCTGGTTCTGATCACACAGCACAGGCTGGCTGGTGGCAGCAACACCCTCTGGGGTATTTTGGATGTACTCCAGCACCCAGCACGGCTTGGATGTGAGTCCCAGAGAAGCAGCTCGTGCTCTGTGCAGGGAAGGCAGCCCGTAAGATGCAGCTGGATGCTCACCAGGCTCCTGTGGATCCTCAGCTCTGGGCTCGCTCTGCAACCAAAGCCAAGAATCAGCTCCATGGATGGATCAGGGACAACAGGACATCTCTGTCACCTTTTCCAGCCCCACAAGGCTGCTGCAGACCCCAAACTACTCCCCAGCAAACACTGCGGTGCCCAGCAAGCACTTGTGGTGCTGGGCTTGGTCCTTAGGGATCCCTCAAAAGCAAGGGGACCTTCCCAAAAACCAAAACACACCTTGAAGCCAGGACAGAGCCCTAATTTATCATCACCAGCTGCTCAGGGCACAGAAACTCCCTTCATTCAACCAGAAGAACAGCAGAGGCTGCCTTCATGTCTGTATATTGATGGATTTTCTATAGAAGATCTTGATCACATAAATAATAACTTCTGACAAGTTTTAAAGCARATGAAAATAGTTATTTGTCCTTTTCAGACATTCATTTGGTGGATTTCCCACTAAATACCTAAACTCGTGTAAAAAGTCAATCAAAACATCACATAAACGAGAACTCATTAATTCAGTAAGATAAAGACAGGGGAAAAAAAAGCAAATTCCTAGTGCAGAGATCTTGGAACATTTTCCAATCATAAATAATAAAAGCTTTAAGCATCAGCACCAAAATTTGTCCTTCCCAGTGATGGCGTGTGTGGGACCAGTGCGACAAGAGCTCCCACACCACGTCCTGACAGGAATCTGCTTGCAGGGAATGTTTGCAGTACCTTACCTGGCCTGGGGACTCRCTGCCCTGCAGGAGAACTTTGGCAGTGAGAGGAGGTGGCAGCTGGGTGCTCACAATCCTGAAAGGACACAGCAAAGTCAGAGAATCACGGRACCAGAAATGGTTGGGTTGACAGAATTTCAAGATCATCAGTTCAAGGAATTCTGATGAAATTTGGTGACAAAGTATCTCTACCAGTGTCGTGGTTTGAACTRATTTAATAGGGGGCAAACACTCCCAAGTTCCAGCAAATCCCTTCCTTTCCCCACCCAGGTCCTGAAAACAAACTTTTCCACAGAGAGGAAAGGGAAAAGAAAAAGAAAAAAAAAAACCTATTTATTTAACAAAACAACAACAACAAAATAATATGCCCACAAAAAGAGAGGAAAAAAATTATAAAACAAAAAAATAACAGGGGACCAGCTGTTGGATCCTAAAGTCTTTTTCCTTCCTCCTGGGAGTGGCTTCCCCCTTCGGGAGCCCCCAGAGGGGTTGGACAGAGACACAAGGTGACACACCCTGGTGCAGGACAAGGCTCCCAARTCCCCTCAAGACAAATGTCCTGGTCCCTGCACACTCTGCCAGCTCTCAGGTGCTGCAGTGACTCACTCCAGTGTCCTGCCTGCAGCTATGAGGTCACTCCCTGGCAGATGCTCTCCCCGTGGCACATTTCCAGCACTCTTAAAAGGTGTCACTGGAACAGTTTGTGCCAAAGGAAAATGGCACTGGAGCAGCTGCTGCCAAGGAATTCTCGGAATTCCCCACCTCCTGTCTTTCAAGGCCACCTTGGAGGGTTTCCTTGAAGTTGTTCGGTGACCTTTGGGTGAATGAAGCTGGAATTTCTTGTGGGGAATCCTGGCTCACCCCTCTGTGCAMTTCCTGTCAGTACAGACAGTGGTCCTGGCCAGCAGGTCAGATGGACACACGGACACAYGGACACAGTGCACTGACCTGCACCTCTGCAGAGGGAACACTGCTGGGAAAGCACAACATCCACACAACTCCCTTTTCCTGGGAAACTTCCCCCTAAAAAACCTCAGAAACTCAGTCTTTGCATCCTGCTGAATATGAAAACCAGCAGATTCCTAGTGAAACCAAAGTCTTGAACTCCTGCATGCTGCTAAGCACAGATAACCCTGGARAGACTGYTCACAAGAGCCTGGAGTGACAGGACAGGGGACAATGGGCTCAAACTSCCAGAGGGCAGGGATAGATGGGAGAYTGGGAAGGAATCCTTCCCTGGGAGGGTRGGCAGGCCCTGGCACAGGATTCCCAGAGAAGCTGTGGCTGCCCCATCCCTGGGAGTGTCCAGCCCTAGAAAGGGATGGATTTAAACTTTCAGGGTTACTYACAAGCCTTTGTAGAGGATGCAGCCTGCCAGAACATAAGGAGAGCGTTGGCACGTCTGCAGGATGAGAGCTGCCTTCAGCAAAAGCAGGGGATCCACCTGGWCAGGGAGAGATGGGGCAGTGAGGCCACAGAATCCTGGAAAACCTCAAAACAGCAAATAAATCCACTGAGGCAGCTCCAGAGCCAGGCACCACAGAGAACAGGACCTTACCTTGGTTTTGTCCAGATGCCAGAGGGAATTGAAAATCCTGTGGAGGTCAYTGGTGTTTTTTTGGATGTGTTTGATGTACCTGTCCCACTCCCTGCTCAGCTCCTCCTGGGAAAACGCCTGTGGGTGACAAAAAAACCCACTGTGCTGTCACTGCACKGTGTCCACACACTCGGGATGGGACACACAACCCACGTGGGACTGCCAGGATAAGGTGGGAGCTGACACTGAGGGGAAACTGTTCTGAGTGAACATCTGGGGAAGGTTTGGCACGGCCCCACCATCAGAGTGATGAGAGGATGGCCTGGTCACTTCTGCAGGTCCCATTTCTCGGGTGTGTGACCCTTGGGAGCAGGGAGGCAACACAAGGGAACACTGCAGCACGTGGACACCACGGGAAGGGTTTAAATCTCCCCAAAAATCACTGTGTCCCCAATCCCTCTTTACTGTATCCCTTTGTCCCTGGGTCTCTCATTATCATGTCCCCAAGATCCCAGTCCCTCATTACCATGCCCCCATGTCCCCAGCCCCTTGTTATCATGTCCCTTTGTCCCTGGGCCCCTTGTTACCATGTTCCCATGTCCCCAGTCCCTTGTAAACGTGTCCCTTTGTCCCTGGGTCCCTTGTTACCATGTTCCCATGTCCCCAGCCCCTTGTCACAGTGTCCCCATGTCCCCAGCCCCTCGTTACCCTGTCCCCCTGTCCCCAGCCCCTCGTCACAGTGTCCCCAGCCCCTCATTACCGTGTAAGCTCTGTGCACAGGGCCCTGGTAGAAGGTGAAGAGGCCGATGAGCTGCTCCAGGAGCCGCCGGCAGCTCACGTCAGGCAGCTCCACAGCACAGCCCAGAACCTGCAGCAGACACAGCCAGGGATGGGGAAGGTTCCCTGACAGAACTCAGGCACGGCAGGTGAGAACAACTCATCACTTTCACACAAGGACAGGCGACTCTGAGCAGGCAAACACCCCCCTGGATTCACAGCCACAGGAAAAGGAAATGCAAACATACCCACACAAGAGCCCTGGCACAGACAGGATAAATAAATATCAGCACTTCAGACACACTCCCTTCCCACGCTAGATGACCTAACTTGGTGCTTTAATAGCTAGGAACATTTTCTGAAACTAAGTACTTCAAAATATTCAATTAACTCATGACTTGTATTATGGTGATGCTCTAATTTAAATTTTTGAGTTGCTGAAATAGCAGCAGCAGTGCCAGTTAAACAGGGCTGACTGGCCTCAGCCCAGTTCCCAGGGGATGGTTTGGGGCACTTTTGTCACAACTGCTCTTTAAATATTAAATATCTATGGACACTGGCACAGCCCTGGGAATGCTGAGGGCTAAAAGGACAGAGCAATCAGACTATCAGACAGTTAATGTGATCTTATAAACTGCAGCACATGGAATCCTGCTCTGCCCCATCCCTGGAAGTGCTCAAGGCCAGGCTGGATGGGGCTTGGAGCAAGCTGGGATAGTGGAAGGTGTCCCTGCCCGTGGGACTGGATGAGMATTAAGGWCCCTTCCAATCCAAACCAGTCTGGGATTCTGTTTCCAGTCAGGAACATCTTACGACATCCCTTTGGCTGTGAGCACACAATTGAGGCAATTGAAACTTTTCTGCAGAAAGCTGAAGTGACTGCTGGGCCATGGTGAGCTGCAGAAAACAGAATTTGACTTCCCTTGCAATGAAATTTGTGCACTGCAAAGGTGCAGCCGGGGAAAATAAACCCTCTTTGATGCAGTCCTTCAGTCCTTGGCTGTTTTCACTCTGTGACTGCTCCAGAGCTCCTGAACTCACCCACAGAAAGTCTCCATCCACCACCACAGCRAAYTTGAGCTTCCTGAGGCGGACAAGGYTGGGAGGGGCCCCGGAGATCTCGGTGAGGCAGCGCACAACGCCRGCCATCTGCCCACACAACAGCTCCTGCTGCTCTGGGAGGGTCTGCAGGGAGCCAGGGAGAAAAGGCTTTAACTTCCCATTAAAAGAACTTGGAAAAAAAAATCACTGCTGCTTTCAGGTATAAATAAAAATTAATTATCAGTTGAGTTGTGTTACAGAAAAGGTTGTTAGGCATTGTCACAGGCTGCCCATGGCAGTGGTGAAGTCACCATCCCTGGAAGTGTTCAGAAAATGTGTGGATGTGGCACTTGGGGATATGGATTAGTGGTGAACAGGGTGCTAGGTCATGGCTGGACTTGATTTTAAAGGCCTATTCCAACCTTAACAACTATAGGATTCCATAAATCAAATGCAGCAGAACAGGGACATTTCTGGGAGAAAAATGAATGGATTGGTTTTTCCAGGCAGCACAAGGGCTGGGAGCTCATGGAGGGGAACTTTCATCCCTCGTGTGTGTTTATTCACATCCCCAGGACGGACCTGGACTGTGCTGCCCCTTTCTTCAGGGAGGGAGCAGAGTGTGACCCCATTGCTGTGTCCCTGTGCTCCACCTGGAACTAACTGGGATTTCTTAAAACTTTTGTGATTATTAAATAAGGATTAATCCAAATAACCTGAAAGCCTGATCCCTCCTGACCCAGAACCATCAGCACCCCTCTACAAGTACTGAAACAAAGCAGGCATTACCTGAGAAGGRTAAAAATAACAGATCCCAGCACTTGTAGGATCCCCTTCCTCCTTCACTTTGGAGCCGTCATAAAGGAAAAAGTAATTCCACCTAAAAAACATTGGCAGGAATGATTGTGTATTTGAAAACTGTTATGCTTCTCCCTCTCCTTTCTATGACTTCAGGAAGAGCAACATAAGGTTGTTGCAAATGGAGGGACAGTGTTCTTGCACAATCACACCGAGTTTACACCTGAAAGCAGCACCAAAAAGGTCCCTCGTGACTAATTCTGACCGCTTTTGTGAGTTTAAAAGAGGTGCTGTAACTCCACCTCTGAGACGCGTGGAAGGAGATGTGGACTTGTGAGATATTGTACTCTCAGCACACGGGATWATTATCGAGAAACATTCCAAATAATAATTCCAGCATTATCCATGTGCATTCCAAAGAAGCTCCGGGGTGGGAGAGAGCCCCCAAGGAGCAGGAGACAGAGCAGTCCCTTAAAGATGTGCTGCCATTCTGCCCATATTTTCTTGGACGTACATATTCACTAACACTTTTTGGCCTGTCCTGCCCGGCAGCACCTCGTCACAAGTTCGAAATGAGCACAGTGCAGGAGTTTCCCATAGGAAGAGCCCGGGTGTGCAGCAAAGGAAAGAAGCGGCTCAAAGGGGGCACCGAGGAACCCGCGTTACCGCCCGGCCAGGAGCGGGAGGCTGCACCGCTCCCGGACCGCCCCTCCACGGCCCCGGAGTGACCACGGGCAGGGACAGAACTGCTGAACCACGGAGGCTTCCACACCCCACCGGGGCACAGCAGCCGGCAAAGGGCCGAAAGTGCTCCCCGGGACAGCGGCACGCGTGGGCGGGAGGCGGTGACCGGGAAAGGGGGCTCGGGGCGGGGAAGGGGCTCACCATGGCGCGGGACCGGGCGCGGCGGGGCGGGACATGGCTGCGGGATGCTCCGGGAGGTTCCAGGGATGCTCCGGCCGGTTCCGGGGATGCTCCGGGATGTTCCGGGGATGCTCCGGCCGGTTCCGGGGATGCTCCGGGAGGTTCGGGGATGCTCCGGCCGGTTCCGGGATGCTCCGGGATGCTCCGGCCGGTTCCGGGGATGCTCCGGCCGGTTCCGGGGATGTTCTGGCCGGTTCCGGGATGCTCCGGCCGGTTCCGGGATGCTCCGGCCGGTTCCGGGGATGCTCCGGGATTCCCCTCTCCCCGCTCGCTCCCGCCGCCGGTTCCGGGCGCGCCCCCGGTCCCGTGACCGCGCACGTGACCGTGCGCATGGCGGCAGCGAGCGGGTGGCGCTCCGGGCGGCGGCGGCGGCGGCGGGGCCGGGCCGAGGAGGAGGATGAGGAGGAGGAAGGGGAAGGCGGTCCCGGTACCGAAGCAGTGCTCCGGCGGCTGCGGGAGGCGCGGTGAGTGCCCGCTGCCGGTCCGTGTGCCCGCTCCCCGCCGGGCGCTGCCGGACCCCGCTGATACCGCGCTCTCCCCGCAGGGACGATCTGCTGAGCTCCGGTTTTTGGGCGGCGAGCGCCGGTGAGTGCGGGGAGCGGGGGTTCGGGGTCAGCGGGGACAGCGAGCCCCGGTGGTGCCGCCGCGCTGACCCCGCCGCCCGCAGGAGCTGTGAGAGCCCCGCTGAGCGGCCCCGCGGAGCCGCCCGCCCGCTGCGTGTGCTACGGGCTGGGCCGCTTCGGCCGCTGCCCCGCCGCCAGGTACCAGCTCGCCTTCCTGCTGCTGCTGCTGGACGAGCTGCGGGTGAGCACCGGGGCCGGGGAAAGCACCGGGGAAAGCACCGAGGGCAGAAGCGCGGCGGTCCCGCTCATGCAGCCCTGTCCCCGCAGGTGCCGCCCGCCCGTTGTGCCCTGTTCGACCCGGCTTTCTCGGCGCGGGAGGCGGCGGTGCTGCGAGCGCTGGGGCTGTGCCTGCTGCCGGAGAATGAGGTGAGGAAACCCCCCGTCAGACCACCCGGGATCCACTGGGGACCGTGGCTCGACCGTGACGGGGGAATTCTCGGGCAGGAGGGGAAACACGGCATAGAGGGCTCGGCCACGCTGTTCTACATGGTGCACTGCGGGAAGGCGCTGTACAACAACCTGCTGTGGAGCAACTGGAGCCCAGCGGCGCTTTCCAAACTGGTCATCATCGGCAACAGCTTCCGAGGGATCGAGGAGAGGTCTGGACACACCCCTGACAGGCCTCCCACCCTGCTTTCCTCTTCTCCGACACACTGTTTTATTTTTATTGCTTCTGACAGCAATTTCCCTGTTTTGCACATTTGCGTTGCCATGAAGTTTACAGTCGTGAGCCCACTCCCCCCTTCTCTGTCCCACCCCCACGCAGAAAACTTGTCTAAATCCACAAGAACGTCATGTCTAACATGGGCACCTTCTGGTATTCCAGATTGCTGTCCAGAATCTTGGAGAGAGATTATTCCTACATCGCAAAGGTAGGAGGCAACAGTTTAACATTATTGTTTCATGTTGACAACACACGTTTTAATGAGAAATGAATTGCTGTTGGAAAGAAGAGTGGGATAGTTTTAAAACCCTTTTCCTAGATGCTATAATATAAAAGCTAATCATTTTAAGATTGAACATCTGCAGAACACCCTGCACACAGGGGCTGAGGGTAATGTAACACCATCCTCACTGGCTCAGCTTTGCAGGAAGGGGCTTCTGCATTGTCCATAACTTTTCCCCCAAATGCTCTTTAGGTCTTAAAAGGGATGGAGGAAGTGGCACTCCCCAGTCACCCCCGCTACCTGGACACCTTCAATGACACCTCCGTGCACTGGTTTCCCTTGGAAAAACTGCAGGAGCTTTCCCCTGAGGTCTGGGACTGCGTGGAGGAGCCGATGTACCAAGAYTGTGAGGACCTGGAGATCATCAGGAAGGGGGAGGGAGCTACTGCCAAGTCCTGACCCTCCCTGTTGGGGGTGGGGGCTGGGATCCACATCTCTTCCCATGGAAGCTTTTGTGCAGCTGAGACGTAGCTCAAGCAGTGACAGTGGCATCAGGCTCTGCCAAAAGTGGCAGCACCTCAATGCTGAGGTGATGGGACGTTTTTTATATCTTATTTAATAAAAAGTAAAGCTGGGCTTCGATTTACTCTCATTGAAATACAGCAAAACCTGCCCTTAGAACCATCAATGCTTTGAATCCCTCCCCTTCTATAACAATTCAAGGCCTTTGCCGTGTACTACACACATTTCAAAGCATCAGGAAGGAAGAATTATCTGAGGGGTTTGTAGTGGGAGGTGTTGGGGTCTAGTTCCCAGTGCAGGCTTGGAGCTGCCAGCTCTCAGTGCTGCTGAGATCAGCTCTTGATCAGTCCTGAGAACAACCAGGGCAGCTCCCTCCAGGGAAAAAGCCTGAGGGTTCCTTCCCTCATCTCTGTGCCCCAAACCATGCGGTCTCACAGCAGAGTTGGGACAGATCCTGGCTGTGTGCAGCAAAGARGAGCCCATTGTGTGAGGGATGTTGKGGGGATAGTAACTCACTGCCAGCACAGCACACAGGCAGCAGAAGCTGTGACATCGGTGTGACACGTGTCACTGCAGACCCTTGGGACTCTGCTAGGCCAGCTCTCACTCATCTATGGGAGCGGGGAATGTGATCCCTCCTAACCTGCTGATAAACCTCTGTCCCAGGCAGCATTAAAAGTGTYAGCACTGCTTGTTCTCCCTTAGCCTGGCTTTCCAGGTCAGGACGTCTGGCCCTCCATCCTCCAGCCACTGCCTGAACAGCTCTTCCAGTTAAACCATCCTGGCRTCCAGCTCTGCTGTCACTATTTACAAACCTGGAACTTGGTTTATTCTAAGATTTACCCAGAGGCTGTTCCTGGGCAGAGTCTCAGTCCCCAGCAGGGTCTCACTTGGCCATGTCAATGAGGCTCTGCAGCGAGGTGGGCACCCAGGTGGTTTCCCCTGGCACAGAGGCCTCACTTGGCCATGTCAATGAGGCTCTGCAGCGAGGTGGGCACCCAGGTCTTCTCCCCTTGCACGAACACCACGCCCCTGTCGATGTAGATGACGATCCTGCCGAAGGTGTAGAGCTGCTTGCCCTCGTGCCGCTTCCCGATGACGGGCATGAAGACGATGTTGTGCTCCTCGGCYTTGGTCTGGATGAGGTCCTTGAAGTTCATGGGCACGGAGCCGGCGGCGGCGCCGATGCCACGCTGGGCCATGTTCTCGGCCTCGCGCCGCTCCTGCATGGCCTCGTACTGGAAGTCCTTGCGCCGCTCCGTGTGCGTCAGGTACGCGATGTTCTCCCGGGCGCCCGGCTGCATGTATCCCCCTGCGGGAGAGAACGGTGACAACACGGTCCTGAGCCTCATTCCCAGCTCCACCCGGGACACAAAGTCAGTTGAGACATTTGGAGTGTGGAGTCTGGGCTCAGGAAGGGAGTTCTCAGTTTTGGAAAGAGGGGAAATTCCAGGTGCTGCTCCCTCAAGCATGCCCTTCWCTTTTATACAGTGTAATTCCCAACAATCGCCTTTAGGTCATAGGGAGAGTCATGCAGAAGGAAAGAGCACTGCTGTAAAGCTAAGGAAATGAACTGGCATCTCACCATAAAGAAAGAAAACCCCAGTAAATGACAGCTTTAGAAGTCAAGCCCTAAAGGATGGAGTTTGACTGACAGGGCAAAGCTAGAAGAGGATCAGCTGTTCAATGGTCCAGGAAGCCACCAAAAATCCTTCTGCTTCAGTGCAGCCCAGAACTATTGAATGGCACCTCAGAGGTGTATTTGAGGACACAGCAAGGCAGAGCACACTGCCTTTCACTGCTCATGGGAGCTGCTGCTGTGCTGCCAGCAGGGCCATGGCCCAGYCAACCTCCCAGGAGCCACACTGGACCGTGCTGCCAGCCCAGAGCAGCARAGCCACCCTCATGAGCCACCTACCCACGCTGGAGGACACGGCACGGTTCATGATGTCAAGAGCTTCGTTGAACTTGTCCTTGATGGAGGGATGTGCCAACACCTGGTCTGAGAACATGGACTTCCAGCCCAGGTACCACTTGGTGATCTCTTCGTAGTTGGGGCTGTTACTGAGCCAAGAGCAGAGTACCTGCAGAGCAAGGGACAACTCAAAGGTAGCACAGGGACATCTGTGCAGGAGAAGCGTCACTGCCACACAATCACAGTCATTAAAGCTGGAAAAGACCTCCAAGAGCATCGAGTCCACCCTGTGACCAATCACATCCTTATCAACCCAGCCCAGAGTGCCACTTCCAGTTTGAGTGATTGAAACACTCCCCAGTCAATCAAACCTTGTTCCTCAGCCCTCAGTGTCTCACCTGCAGCCACTTTGGGAAGAAGTGTTTCTCCAGCAGTCCAACGAGGCTGGAGACCGAAATCATTCCCTCCCAGTCGATCACCCAGTAAAAGGCATCCATGTGCTGCTGGTGAGGGTTGATGATGAGCTCATTCAGACACATTCCTGGGAATGGAGAGGAGAGTTAGAAAAGAACCTGGCCCAGTTTTATCAGTGCCCTGACTTCTTTCACTACCAACACACACAACTTGAGCAGCACCATTCTGTTATCCTCAAGGTCAGTGGGGATCTTTGGCTGATCCTGCCACCAAAACGGTGCCTTTCCWCTTCCAGTTATTAAATTTGCTGTCAGAACTGAGAAACTAAAAACACTTGACTACTTTTTAACCTTTGAGCCAATCTGCATTATAAAACTCATGGTGAAACATTAGAACAGACCAAGGAATTCAGGAATAACAGAGAGACATCTTACAGCCTGGTGCTACCTGACAGCTCTCAGATATTCCTGCCAGCTGGAGACAGATGATTTATAAAAAACAAGACAGAAAGCCTAGAGAATAACYAGATCAATTCCTCATATTTCTCTAATCTTTCTGCCTCTACACAGGACTGGTAGCAGAAAAATAGAGGCAAGCTTGGTCTAACCTCACTAAAAACATTCTCTGATGTGACTGACACTCATAATAACAAGAATCTTTCTTTGGTGTCAAGGAGAAGGTGCCACCAACAGATTCCCCAAACCCAGCACTGTGGGATAGTCTCACCGAGTTTAGGCACGATGTTTTTGACCATGAAAGCCTCCCATGAGCCAGGAGTGAACACATCCTTCCAGGGCTGAAGGATGAGCTTGGCAGARGAGTCGCTGGGGTGCCATTTCTGCAGGGCATTGGCCAGCTTGTTGCGGATGGGCGAGTACAGTGGCTCCAGCCGTGCCTGCATCAGTGGCAGCCAGGGGTGGATCCACGAGTGGATGGGCACYGTGTCTGTCAGAGGATTCCAGCTCTCCACCTTGGGGCACAACAGAAAACATTAACTAAGTCCAGCCACCAGCAGCAGGTTTTGCCCAGAAGCACAAAGAGCTGTGATGAAACCCCCCACTCCTCAATCCATCGGCAGACGCCGTACACCGGTGTTTGGGAGTTCCACTTGGAATTCAAACACAGCTTCAGAGCACAGCTTTGCTCTACCCAGCCCTCTCCTCTCACCTCCTTCTGTAGCTTGGGGAAGATGAGCTGATCCAGAATGTTATCCAGTATCCACACAGGAACAACGCTCACCCAGCTATCCAAGAAATCCACCATGGATCCACAATTCCTCGGCTGCCACCGTGCCACGATGTTTCTGACATATGGCATCCAGATCTCCCACATCAGCCTGGGAAGAAACCCCAAATAAATCAAAGTGAAGCTCAAAGCTACAGCGTGGGCCTAAATAAACCAAATGGGAGCTGATAGTTAAGGCAACTCCTTTTCTGTAGCTGAAAACTTGATTTTAACAGCCCCAGCAAGGGAATCCTTGGGAAAAGCTCCCTTGCTTTTTTCCTTGGGAAAAGCTCCCTTGCTCTTTTCCATCCCTGAGGAAGCAACACGGGAAGATGCTGCACAAACTACAATTCATTTGCTCTTTACCTGTGAAAAGCATCTGTTGACAGGTCCTGCCCACTGTGGGATAACAGCTGATCATTTTCCAGAAGGCTCTTCCACTTGGCAATGATCTCCGTGCCGTATGTACAGTCCTGGGAATGACAAGGCACAAGTGGTTCTTACCCTTTTCCATTAATTCCAGCTGGGATCTGCCCAGAGCAGGCTGATGGTGTGCTGAGCACAGCCAGCCTTCTCACCTCCTCTCAGGGCAAGCCAGGAGCTTGCAGTCTTAATTCCAGAATCCTACAATCATTGAAGTTGGAAAAGACCTTCCAGACCACTGAGTCCAACTGTGACCCCACCCCACCCAGCCAAGAATGCCACATGCAGTCATTTCTTAAATGACTTTTAGTCAAGCCCTGCCAGAGAAAAATTCCACCTTGTGGAATTAATTCACTTCCAGGGAGAGAAGAGGACACTCTGAACTTTTTCAGGTGTACAGAGTGAATACACTTACCTACTCCAACCTAAATGGCTCTGAAAACAAATTGTGCATCTGATACCTGACAGAAAAACCTCTCCTGCTTTTGCTAAAAAAAAACAGCTACAAACATTTTTTCACCAACTTTTTCTTCCCAACACTCATAAAAGGGAGTGATTTTAACCTTCTAAACTCCTAAATTTTCACCCAGCAAATGTTTGAGTGTGGGGACAACACAGTGTTTCATTTTGTCTTTTTTCTTTTTCTCCAGACTGATAAGAAATTTAGAATCCCAGAATCACAGACTGGTTTGGATTTGAAGGGACCTTAAAGCTCATCTCATTTCTTTCCCTGCCATGGGCWSGGACACCTTACACTAGACCAGGMCRYTTGGGACAAAGYAAMAAAAATTAYTGGAGCCATCAATCAAGAAYTGCAGWTAACTCAAACCAACACACACCTTGAGGGGATCCCAGTTCTTGAAATATTCCTTCATGAGAGGATAGACTATGGCCACTGCCAGRTCCACCCTGTCTGACATCCTGTACTCCTCATAGTACTTGTCCTGAAGCGTCTCAAAGATCTTTGCACACTCATCCAGGGTCAGAGGGTTCTCATAGCCGGGCTGCATCCTCCTCTCACACTCCTCCACCATGTCCAGCACCTTGCTGAGGTTGCTGATGGCCTTTTCCTCATGGGAGAGCACCTCAGCCATTTTCTGGATCTCGTGGCTCAGGTTGACCACCATGTCCCTCTCGTACTGCAGCTGCCGGTCGCTCTGGATGATCTCCTGCTCCGTGATGTCGATGAGCAGCTGCAGGTTGTGCTCCAGCTCGGGCAGGGCAAAGCCCTGGGGTTTGGAGTCCTTGCCCAGGGGCTGCTGGGGGTTGTCATCTGGGATGTTGTGCTTGTGGCTGATCTGGCTGTAGCTGTAATAAACCTTCTGCTCCCGGCCTGTCATGTCGATCACCTGCCAGCACATAATAATGAACTCTCTTACAAAAAACTCTCCCTCACCTTCAAAAAAGGTGAAAACCCCTGACTCCAAATTGAAATATGGAGATTTCCAAGGACCTTAATTACTCCAGGGGGCTGCTAGTGTACACTGTATTTGAACAAGGGGATTGCCTCCACAATGGCCTTCTCCAGACACAAGGAGTTAGAATAAATAAGCAGCAATGTGGAATCAGAGCAGGAAGAATCTCATTTCATCCCAGTTTCACTGAATGATTCCACAATCACACAAGCAGTGATCTTGCCATTAGTTACACTGTTAATTAATGCTCTTGGTTACTTTTATCATTTTATAATCTAATTTGTCACCATGCCCAGGTGACACAGGGCTATTACACAGCTCAGGGATGAGCTCCATGAGGCAGCACAGGCAGTTCCTAGGACTGGCTGTACTGAGGTTGGCTAAAACACCCCAGTGACACCAAAGGACACAAACTGCTCTCAGGGGTCACCTCTTGGCTTATCAARCTCACCTTGACCTGGGACAGTTCCTTCTGAGGGGCTGCAAGCTGCTTGTTGATCCTGCCCTTGGCTTTCAGCTCYTCCACGGTTTTATAGCTGTATTTGGGCTTTTTCTTGCCTCCGTTCGGGTCCTTCCGCCATTGGCTCAGCTCCTTCTGAAATTCCTGGACAAAAAAAAGCAGAGCTGTGGTGGATGCTCTTTGTCACACCCCGAATCTGCCCCTTTTTACAGAAAAAACCATCAGATCAATGAGGAATTTGTGCAGAAAATAACCAGGAAGTGGTAAAGCTCATGCCAAACCAGCTTGGATGCTGTGGACCTATGGATTATATGAACAGGATGGTCCTGGTCTTACTTTTACTTAAAAAACAGAGACTATTTACATGGTGGACTCTTCAAAAGAGGGATTTTAGCAAAGCTACTGAAATAGAGGGAGTCAGAAACAATAAAAAATATTGCAGTGGACAAGATCTGTCTAAATGAAATCAATGTGCTCTGTCTTCGGGTTTTTATCTAAAATGATCCCAATTTTCTCTGACACAGAAATGAAAGAGAACTGAATTTTGGACACACAGCACAGCAGGGAAAAGCAAGAACTAYACAAATACCTCCTCAGCTTCCTCTTCTGAGTCCACCACAGGGAARTCCTGCAAGGACTGCGGGGTTCTTTCAGAGCCGTAAGCGCCCACRGCACCTTTGCCTTTCCTCTGCTTGGCCTCGATGGGATTGATGATACCTGGCAGGATGGGAATGGGGTCAGGAGGAGCAGTTTGTGTGCTGAGAGAGAGCAGAACAGCCAGGCTTTCCCTGAGAGTTACCAGATCTGCACCAACACCCTCCCTGGCACTGTGGTACTTCCAACATCACCGATTTCCTATAAAATCACTTCATCCCAGCACACACCAAACTGCCAAAGCACAGCATTATTCCCAACCATATTTCACTGCCTTTTTATTCTCCCACATAAAACAGAATCTCTTTTCCTATGTGATTGACCACCTTTGGAATTTGATCCCTTTCTCTTGCTCTTTTTCTCTCGCTCCTTTCAGAGGAGCAAATAATCACAGGCCAGTTTGAGCACCTCTCTCACCACAGGGCCTAAATCACTGGCAGGAAAACAAGAAAGAAGTTCATGCCATCTGAGACTGGCAGCTCTTCAAGGAATCCAATCTCTCCTGCACATCCCCAGTTAACAATAAACCACCAAACACACAGACAGTACCTTGAGCATTCTTCCCAAGACCCCTTCCAGGAACATATCCCATCTTCTGGAGAAGCTTCTGCCCAATTCCTTTSGTGTGTCTCTCCCAGCTGCCAAAATCCACGAAAGATTTGGTGCCYCCTACAAAGCCTTTCTGGCTGGGCTTAAAATTTCCACCCTGTCCAAAACAAAAACACAAAAACTGCAGCCCTGAGGCTTCAAATAATCAAGGTGTGCAAAATTCCCCTCAGGTTTTTCYCAGAAGTGATTCTGCCCAGCTCACTGGAACCTCCTTTGTGCATCCATGAAGCACCTAAGGAGCTTCCTGAAATTCCTCAAATGGGAAAGGCAAGTCCTGAAAAACTCAGGCTGACAGCCTGACAGTTCTCAGATTTAGCTCATTCCTGATTCTTTCTGGTTTTAACTGAAAATAAGGGTTTGATTTTTAATCCATAATATGCCGGGATTTCTCTGTTCTGTGAAAGTAGAAAAATAAAGTCTCTGAAAGGCAGGAAACCACAGGAATTCTCTTCTTTAAACCTCCACTGACCACAGGGAATATTGAGCAAAATGAAAGGATTGATTCCCAAAGACACACAATCATTATATCAACATACAGTTGTATCAATGATTTATTATTCAGGTTTTTGTTTTATCAATCTATTTGTATCAATCATACAAAATCCAGAGCAAACRCATCCCTTAATRACACATTTGRGTCTCTGGCTTAATTATTTCTCCYTTTTTTAGTGCTCTATTACAGTTTYACTGCCCTTGACCACAGCCTGAGTTTCATAAGTACAAAACAGAGAACAGTAAATTTCCTGGAGAACTCACTGTTTTTAACTTCTTGGGGACAAAATCCTTGGGAATCTCTTCCTGCTTCACAGGCTTCTCATCATCATCCGAGTCCTCATCGGAGAACTCCTCGGCCGCCGCCTTCCTCAGCCCGGCACTGACAAAACTCACGGGGGCCGAGTAATCCCTGGAACTGCAAAACGAGAAGAAAACCTGCTCCAGGGCACATTCCTGCAGGAGCCTGGGGGTTGCTGTGCCTTACACCCCCCAAAACTGAAATATTAAAGCCTGTCGAGGTATTTATCCCTGCTTTTGCCAGGCAATCCCCATCCTCCCCCGAGCGAGCACAGGGAAAATTTCTGTGTCCCGAGGGCAGCTCCGGCCAGGGATGGGCTGCTCGGGTGAGTCTCCATAGCCGGGAAAGGTCCAGSGATCGGGGAGAAGATGACAGGGAATGGGGGAGCTCCGCGGCCCCACGAGCGAACCCAGCCCGGCCATACCGCTTCCCGCCGAAGCTGGGCCGCTCCTCGTCCGAGTCACGCTCGGCCCACACGCCGTAGGTGGCCTCCTCCTTGGTTTGACGGTGCCGCTGCCGGTGCGGGTTGAATTCGTTCTGCAGGTCCCAGTCCGACACCTCGAAGCTCTCCATCTCCACGCCATCGTCTCCGTCCGTGCCGTACAGGTGAGACATCGACATGGTGGCCACGCCGGGATCCCCCCGACCCGCCCAGGGACCCTCAAGCCGCTGATGAATTCCTGACCCGGGCAACACCGGGAACTCCGAACGGCCCAGAGAGCCCGGACCGCGCCGCCACACCGGATGTGCCCCGTTCACTTCCGGTTTGCTTCCGGTACCGAGCAAACCCCGCCCACAAACCATAGAGTCGCCAGGAGCGGCGCGACCGCGCAGGCAGCGCCGCTCTGTGGTTAGGCGGACCAGAGGAGCGGAGCCCGCGCTAGTAAGTATTGAAGTATTAAATATCAAATCAACACTTTAATGGTGTCCGACACCGAGGGTAGGGAGAGGGGCATATATTAACTCTGCAATAGCCTCTGCAGGGTTGGGGTGAGGGGAGGGAGGGGGCACACGCACCACAAAGGCTCTGCAGGGCCAGGGGGGTCGTTCCTGACCCTGGGAATTGGGAACAGCAGGACCAGGGTGGCTCTTCCCGATCCCAGGAGTACAGCAGGGATGGATGGGCTGCTCCCGACCCCGGGAACGGGGAACAGATCGTGAGAGACACAAAGGCGATGTAAGGAGTCCTCCAGCCCTCCCCTGAGTCCGGATTTCCACAGCTGATTTCCCCACGGAGCGCTGGGAGAGGCCGGCGACGTTCCCGCCGTGGAGCACGTTTGGCCTTTGCAAATAAATGCAAATACATTCCTGGAGCGCAGTCATTTGGCAACAGTAGGAGCAAGCAATATGCTTGGAGAACCGATTTCCACGGGGCCCACGGCACGCTCTTCCTTCTCGGACAACGACAGGCCATCGGCAGCGTTCTGGAAGAGAGGAGCACAGAGCCTCAGGGGCAGGATTCCCTCATGGGCAGGATCCCCTTGGGAACAGGATCCCCTCAGGAGCAGGATCCCCTCAGCAACAGGATTCCCTCAGGAACAGGATCCCCTCAGGGGCAGGATCCCCTCATGGGCAGGATCCCCTTGGGAGTAGGATCCCCTTGGGAACAGGATCCCCTTGGGAACAGGATCTCCTCAGCAGCAGGGTCCCCTCAGGAACAGGATCCCTTCGGGAACAGGATCCTCTCAGGAGCAGGATCTCCTCAGCAACAGGATCCCCACAGAATCAGGATCCCCTCATGGGCAGGATCCCTTTGTGAAGAGGATCCCCTTGGGTACAGGATCCCTTTGGGAACAGGATCACCTTGGGTACAGGATCCCCTTGGGAACAGGATCTCCTCAGGGGCAGGATCCCCTTGGAACAGGATCTCCTCAGGGGCAGGATCCCCTCAAGATCCCCACAGGATCAGGATCCCCTCGGCAACAGGATCTCCTCAGGTGCAGGATCTCCTTGGGAACAAGATCCCCTCAGGAGCAGGATCCCCATAGGATCCCCTCAGCAACAGGATCCCCACAGGAGCAGGATCCCCTTGGGAACAGGATCCTCTCGGGAACAAGATCCCCACAGAATCAGGATCCCCTCAGGGCAGGATCCCCACAGGAGCAGGATCCCCGCAAGAGCAGGATCCCCTCAGGAACAGGATGTCCTCAGGATTAGGATCCCTTCAGGAACAAGATCCCCTCAGAAATGGGATCCCCACAGGAGCAGGACTCCCACAGGATCAGGATCCCCACAGGAGCAGGATCCCCTCAGGATCCCCACAGGATCAGGATCCCCACAGGATCAGGATCCCTTCAGGATCCCGATCCCCTCAGGATCAGGATCCCCACAGGATCCCCTCAGGAGCAGCATCCCCTCAGACCCACACAGTGATGCCTGACTGAGGGTTTAAGGCCCCTGCAACACAAAAGATGTCTGGAAAGGAACCAATTCCCAGCCCAGGACAGTGGACACACAATCCCTGATCTTCCCTCAGCGCTTCTGATCTTTTTCCTAGCCCAACCTTGCTCTTAAAGGATCAGTTTTAGCACCCAGAATGACATTTCATGCTTTGGCACGCAGGAGGAACATCCAACACATCAACAATTGTCTCTGGAGCCGAAGCCCAAGGCAGCAGCTTTGTTTTCTGTCATGCTTTCCTTTGTTTTCTGTCCCCTTCCTCAGGTCCACGGCACGTCCTTGGAGGCAGCTGGGGARCAGCTCAGCTCATCCACGCATTCCAGGCTGCAATAACCCTCCCCGAGCGGCTGAGTYTCATTTTGCAGCTTTAATCCCGTTCCCAGAGCTCAGGAAARGAATTCCTGACAAATGGTCCCACACAGCAGCATTGTTGGGAAGATCTGAGAGTGCCTGGAGCCCCCTGGACTCCACAGAAATGGCACAAACCGAGTGCYAGTCCTGGAACAACGCAGGCAGATTTGATTAAATCCCAAAATTAAGTAAATGGGGCCTTACCTGGAAATCATTAATTTTCTTAGTGAGAAGATGACGTGTTCTGAGTCACCTGGAAGAGCCCCAGAAGTGAAGGGTCAGCTCTGAGCCACTGCCAGCATTCCTCAGGGGAGGGAACAGGGACATTCCCGGCACCACCAGAGTAACCCAAACCCCGACTCTTACCTGCAGGTGACCTTTGAGATTGGCCGGTGTTTTATAATCCCCTTTTAAAACCTGTGGGAAAGAGAAGCTGAAGTGACCCCATGGGGCAGTGGCTCAGGAGTGGGGCTGGAATCACCTCTGGGTCACTGCTGCCGGCCGTTCCCAGCCTTCCCAGGGAAACGGCTGCACTGTGTCCAGCTCAGGGACTCTCTCTCCAAAAATGGAGGAATGGAGGATATCCAGGGAAGGGAATGGAGCTGGGGAAGGGTCTGGAGCATCAGGAGCACTGAGGGAGCTGAGAAAGGGGCTCAGCCTGGAGAAAAGGAGGTTCAGGGGACACCTTGTGGCTCTGCACAACTCCCTGACAGGAGGGGACAGCCAGGGGTTGTTGGGCTCTGCTCCCAGGGAACAGGGACAGGATGAGAGGGAACGGCCTCAGGGGAGGGTCAGGGGAGGCTCAGGGTGGACATCAGGAGGAATTTCCTCATGGAAAGGGTGGCCAGGCACTGGGAGGGGCTGCCCAGGGTGRTTTGGAGTCCCCATCCCTGGAGGTGTCCAAGGAACACATGGCACTTGGTGCTCTGGGCTGGGTGATACGGTGGGGATCGGGCACAGCGTGGACTCAATGGTCCTGGGAGGGCTTTTCCAACCCAAACTCTGTAATTCTGTGATTCTGTTTTCCCTGTGTGGGTGTTTCCCCCCTGCTCTCTCCTGATCCCRTTCAGGAGCCCCTGGCCCGTCCCCGCCGTGGCAGTGCCACTCACTCTGTGTGTGTTGTTGACAACCAGGGGGTCAGGGTGGCCGTAGTTGGGGGGGTTGGCGTAGGGGTCGTAGCCGAGCCTGGCGAGCATCGGGGCGATGTGGGCCATGTCCTGCAGCACATCCCCCGGGATGTGCCCGATCCATTTGGACAAAGCCTCCATGTTCACCGGTTTGATCACCTGGTCTGTCGATCTTTCGATCCTGCGGGAAATAAAGGGAAAAAACAAAAGATACAATGGTTGGATTTCACACAGGGCTCACACAAACAGAGGCTGGGTCCTCCTGCTTAGAATTATGGAATATTAAGGTTGGAAAAGGCTTCTAAGACCAGTGAGTMCAACCATTTTCCCAGCACTGCTAAGGCCACCACTGCCCCGTGTCCYCAAGTGCCACATCCACACAGCTTTTAAATCCCTTCAGGGATGGTGACTCTACCACTGTCCTGTTCCTGCCTGATCACCCTTTCAGGGAAGGAATTTTCCCTAATATCCAACCTAAACAAACCTCTTCTGGCACAACTTGAGGCTGCTTCCTCTTTTCCATCCTGCWCTGGGATAGGGGGTTTCACCAGGACACTTCTGCTTATTGCAGGAAAACAATRTAAGATGTGTGGGCTGTAGAACAGATGCACCCCGTGACCCCTTTGAATATTCAAAACCTGATCTAAGCAACCTGGACCAATTTACTCTGAGCAAACAGGGAAGCAGAGCCGGCTGCATTCCCAGGGCATCCCGGAAAACCGGAGCAGCTGCACATCATCCATGGCTCCTGYGCCCTCACCACCGGGGCACCAGCAACTGATACTGAGGAGACTTGGATAATTCCCTTACATGGCTGATTAAATTTTTCTAAGCCTGACTTAAGCCCCCATTTAGAAAATAAAAAGCATTACAAGAGGAAAAGAAAGCRGGAGAAGGTAAACACCCCCCTGCACATGGGGAAGACAGGAGGGAGTGCTGGGTGTGCCTCCAGTGAGGCAGGTATTGCTTTTATTCTGCAATACCAGCCCCAGACCTGGCAAGAACTGATGCTTATCATCATTAGCAGCGAGACTAATCACACTGAAGAGGTATCTGAGGACGGGTGGAGAAAGAGGCATTAAAGAGCTCACGTTTCAGAGCAAGCAGTTCTTTGCAAATTAGAGACTGAAATAATTTCTGCAGTGTCAAGAGAGATTAAACAGTCACCTGCTCATGAAATCCTTGCTTGACAAGCTGTTCCGTGGARTACAACAGATTGGGAGCATTAAAGCCATGCCCTACTCAAAATCACAAACCCTGCTGCAGTACAATGTGCCATCCCTCCTGCCCCAAAATCACACGCAAACACCAGCAATGCAGTTCTGCCCTCAGTTTTAGCCCTGACAAAAATGCTCCTTGAAAAGCCGAGGAAGGAGCCGAGACTCACTTGGAAAGGGACACCCCGCCGGGCTTCCCGATGAGCTCCTCGTGRTGCAGCACCGTGTCGCTCCAGGAGATGTCCAAAAACCTCATGATGTTGTGCATGGACTGCTCGGGGTGCAGCACCAGCTGCTCGTAGTAGACAGGCAGGCAGCGGGCGCGGCCGATCTCCAGGCACTGCGAGTACATCACCTCGATGGCCTTGTTCCACTTGGTCAGGCAGTCCCGGTAGCTGTTGAGGTCGAAGCCGGCGATGGTCACCTTCCGCGTGATCATGGAGTGCACCGAGGCGCGCCCGTCGCGCACCATCAGCAGGAACTTGGAGTTGGGGAACAGCCGGGACAGGTACACGGAGGATTTGAGCGTGAAGGGGTCCTTGTTGCACAGGTACCTGGCGGGCTCGCCGTGCTTGGCGATCACCTCCAGGATGAAAGCCTGCATGGCCGCRTCCAGCACCTGGTCCGTCACCCCCGCCTCGTCCAGGCGCATCTTCTCGCGGCCGGACTTGGACCAGGCCTGGCGCATGGCCAGCACGCGGGGGATGATGCGGGTCTCCTCCCCGCAGCGCACCTCAGGGTGGGCGTCCAGCATGGCCCTCATCAGCGTGGTGCCGCTGCGGGGGACGCCGCCGATGAAGATCAGGGGCATGTCCTTGCTGTACCGGTACTCCACGTGGTTGGCGTCCACCATCACCAGCTCCTCGTTTTCTGGCCTCATCAGCCTGTGCCTCCTCTCGCTCAGGACCTGYTGGCACTCCAGGACCTGCTGCCCGAGGTGCAGGGTCACCATCAGGGCCACCAGCGAGCCCACCAGCAGCAGCACCCGGCGCGTGGTGACCCGCATCCTGCTCTCCTGGGCACAGGCTGCGGGCTTCAGCTCTCAGCTAGYGAGTGTCCAACGCCACGGGCATCTGCAAGAGAACAGCGCAGTCAGAGCAGCCCTGCTCCGGTGGGATGCTGACACCATCGCAGGATTTCATCACCTCCTTCACTTATCAGCACCTCCCAGGCTTGGTGCCTTACGCCCAGCAGGTAATTAAAATCTGCCTCGGTGCACGCCCAAAGAGATAATTCCTGCACTGTTTGTGTTCCCAGAAACACAGGTTTGCAGCTGGAGCAAAGCTCCAGGAACGTTTTGGAGAGGAGGGGCCCTGTATACCCAGGGAGTCCTTAAAACAAAATCTTTACAGAGAGCCCATTCCATCCCAGATGAAGCCCAGATCCTCGCTGAGGTTATTCCTCCCAAACCCAAGCCAGCCCTCCAGCACTACCCATCTCTCAGCCACCTGCACCCTCCCTATATTTTCTTTAGTTTGACCCTGTGGTCACAGGGGAGGAGGAAGCTGAAATAAGAGAAAAACAAAACCCTYTCACACCAGCTTCAAGTGTCTGAGTCAGGAGAAGCCGTTAGAACGGAACACTGAGAAATWCAACAGTCTGAGAGCGAACAGCCACACACAGTGTTCACCACCCTGCCCTGCCTCGGAGACTGACCTGACGGAGAAATCCGTGAAACTTCATCTGGCACCCAGACTTTTTGGGGTTTTCCAGGACTCGGCAGGACACCCAGCAGGAAGGCTGCAGCCTCTGTGAGTGCCCAGCTCCGCTGAGTGCCCGGAGGGACTCCCGGGAATGCTGGCACCGCTTCCCGCCCCCTCCCCCCGTCCGCCCCAGTTGCGAGCGCAGGTTTTGCAATCCTCCCCTGGGCTCACCCCGGGATTTCCAGTTCTTTGTGATTATGTGGCTGGGGCAGGAGCTGAATGAAGTGGAAGGAACGGGYCGTCCATGGATTCTGCTTTGCTGACAGGCCAAAGAACAGCTCCAGAAAAGCGTTTTCTCCTCTCCACGAAGGAACACTTTGTGCAGCAGCCCATGCGGAGCAGGGAGCAAGCAGGAGAGAGACASGAGCCGGGCAGCTTCCCTGCTCCTTGCCAGGCACTCAGGGACTCRCTCTGCTCCCCAATTCCAGCCCCTGACATCCTGCTCCATCATCCCAGACTGCTCCCATCGGCTTTTATCCACTCCTGCCCGGGCAGTGCCTCTGTGCCAGCCCAGAGACACCCTTCCCCAGCCCAGCAGACACAGCAACATCACCACCACAACTATTTTTGTGACTCTTTACTCCCCGGTCCACCCTGACCGGCTGCTTGGTAACATACCTAAGCAAAACAACCTCAACTACATCCCCGGGTATGAGATAAAGTGGGTGGATTTGTTGGGATGTGGATCACAGGGACACAAAACAGCTCTGGCATTTCTGCAGCACCAAGCAGAGTCAGAGCCATTAACAAGACAAGTGCTGCTCCTTCCTGCTCTCCTCATCTGTTTCAGTCATGTAAATGTATTCAAATGTTCACCCCGAAATAATTGCAAATGCCACAAGAGCCRTTTCAATGGATGGCAGAGGAGCAGGCAGGAGGATTTAGGGCCAACTGGAATAATCAGGGCGATGCAGACCAAGACAGGCTAATTAGCAGCAAAAGCTGCAGCGTGAAAGGAGGCTGGAGCACAGAAGTGCTCTGTTCTCCAGGAGAACCAGCTGACAGGGAGCAGTTCCCACCGAGATGCTCCAGCAGCTCTGGCTGAGCTGCCGAGGGAACAAAGGGACTCTCATGTTGTGTGTGATGGGAGGGTGGCTGGGGCTGCCAGCTGTGCCAGGGGAGGTCAGGTCAGACATCAGGAGSGATTTCTTYATGGAAAGGGTGGTCAGGCACTGGAAAGGGCTGCTCAGGGAGGTTTGGAGTCCCCATCCCTGGAGGTGTCCAGGGAAYRCCTGGAKRTGACACTCAGTGYTCTGGGCTGGGTGACACAGTGGGGATGGGTCACAGGTTGGACTCRGTGACCTTGGAGAGCTTYCCCAACCTGAATGATCCTGRGATTCTGGTGTGTCCCTGGGCCATATCCTGCCTGTCCAGCAGTGACACAGCCCCACTGCTCCCACCCAATGCCACAGCAGGGGAAGCTCTCATTCCATGTGGGGATTGGGAAAGGCAGGTGCCCGCAGGAGCACGGCTCCTCTCCACTGCTGAGCTCTGGACTCTGGCTCTGCTCCCACACAGAGAGACTCTGGAGGACTGGAATGAGACAAATCTCTGCATTGGGATCAGCCTGGGATCACCCCAGTGTGCTGGGAGGGCTGAACAACATCCAGAGTGTGTCTGCAGGGGCAACCGCAAATGGCCCAGCTGGTTCTCAGCTCTTTCGTGCAATTGTCCACTGAGAATTTCCTAAAGTTTATGGGGCTCATTAGTCTGTGAGAGAAGAGGGATGGGTCATTTCCTCCCCAGCAGACACTGTGCTGGAATCATGGTGTMATTAGGTGCAGGGCTGTCTGAGCAGAGAGGGCACTTCCAGAGACAACAGCCCTTCAGATGCCCAAGCTGGCTCTGAGAGCTTCCCACTGCAGCAGGAATCAGGGAGCAACCAGGGATTACTGTGGCACATCATGGCAGGGAATGGTGACATGGGGGCAGCAATCAGAGTGACAGCTGTCACCTAAAGCTTTTGAGTGMAGCTCAGGGATGTGACCCTGGCCACCATCAGGGCAAGGCTGGCACCCAGAGGTTGGGTGAGAGTGGGAACCAGTGGAGAAGTGACAGCAGAGCGACAAAAGGTCCTACAGGCAGCGAGGTAAGGTCATCATCCCATGCAGACAGGGCTTGAGCATGAACACGGCTTACACTGTGTCCTGCCAGCTTGTGAAAGCTTAAAGGATTAAGGGGGCACCAGCGGCGGTGTGGACAGATGTTGAACATCATCAGACAGATGTGCCACATCCACCCAGCATCCCAGGGGAACCAAGTGCTCYGTCACATCCAGCTGCTCGCTCTTACCTTCCCCCCGTAAGGTCATTGTGCTGCTAGTGGAGCTTCATGCTGAACCCGCGGCCACCACAACACCTGATGGGGAAGAGAAGCCAGTRTTGATTTGTTTACTCAGCACACTCATCTGCTCTCCTCCTCCTCAGCACCTTCCCCTCCTACCCACAGCCTCCTCCGAGCCCCAGGGAAAGGTGGAGCTGGTGGGTCCAGCTCACAGACTGGGCACACCTGCCCTGAGACACCAGGACTGTTGACAGAGCCGAGACAGACCAGGGCAAGAGTGAAGCAGCAAGGCAGCTGCTCCTTCAGGAAAAGCTTTTCCACTAATGGCTGTTCCAGCCATCCGAGTCACCTCTCCTCCTAGAGTGTCACTGTCCCCTCCACCTCACTGCTAAGGAGAAACCAGAGGGAAACTCCACCCAGCACGAACTCYGCGAGGGTTTATCTGCAGTGCAGGCACTTCCCTGAGAGGCTTCCTGCTCAGCCTGGCCTCCATGCAAGATTCCAGCTCCAGACCAGGCTGCAGGTCCACAGAGGAGCAGCTGCACCCCTGGATGTGCTCCTGCAGTGCCACAAGCGCAGAGGTGCAGGGACAGAGGTGGTTTAACAGCCCACCCGCTCCGGAAATGGCTCCAGCTCCTGCCGTGCACACACACACACGGACAGACACACGGACATGCGCTTGTTTGTGACTTCCTTCCTGATGCTGTGCAGGGCGTCACCGCCAGCTGGGCTCCAACAACAGCTCCAACCGAAACCCTGACCAAAACCCCCRAGTGAAACCCCTAAGCTCGGCACCTGCACTGGGAACGGGTGAAAACCACCCCCGGAGCAGCCCTGCATCCTCAGCAGTGAGGAAACACCATTTGTTAAAGTGTTACAAMCAACCACCAAACCAGTTCCCGCGAGAAACCCCATATGATCAAAAGCTGCATTTTTCTTCAAACCATTCCCAGAAATGATTGTCATTAAATGCAGCTTCCCCAAAAGACGTAGGTGTGGCCTGGAAAATTTGAGCTCAATTTGTTGGTGCTTAACAAAAGGATGAGGATCTGCAGGCGCCCTTGTGGTGGAGCAGCAACAGGAACTGTGGTCAGCAAGAAATGTCCCAACTGACATCTTTACAAATCAGCAATGTTTAATTACYGAATTGATAGTCTCCAGCTCATTTACAAAAATCARCACAGCTTGCYTGAGGGGCCACTGCTTCATCCCAAYCTGAGCTCAGTCCAACGCTGGCACTGCTGCCCCTGACGCATTCTGCTTCTCCTGGATGCTCCTGCTTGTATGGCAACTTGTATGGCACGTTCCAAAATACCTGGTGATGCCCAGGTACCTCTCTTAGCAGGGATGTGGTGAGCGTGGGGCATGGGGCAGGCCCCAGTCTCCACCAGGAGCCCACAGAGGCACCGCAGGAGGGGCTGTGGTCACCGAGTGCAGCGTCAGCCTTGTTGCACAACCCCCAGCTCGTGCTCCTGCTCCTCCACCCCAGCGCTGCATGGATCGGGATCAATCCCACAGGACAGCAGGGGCAGGGTCCAACCCATCCCCCCAAAAGGGTGGGACAGGGRCTCTGTGCTGCAGGAGCCTCTGAGAGAAGATGTGAAAACGAAGATTCAAAAAAAMCCCTCACACTCAAAAAAAAAMCCCCACAACAAAAATGGAGCTGCTGTCAGCCACCACATGGYGAGAGTGGCACTACCGAAAGCTGGGCGAGTTTGGTGACTAAAACTGAAGCTGCACTGCAGGTCATGAACCCAGGGAATCCATCGGAATAGAGGCTGATCCCAGTGAAAACACAAACCAATGCCAGCAAAAACACCTGGGGTTTGGAGCATTTTGGAGTTCTGTGTCCCTTGGAAAATCCCAAACAGCACTGACAGCCCTGTGGTTTACACTTGCACCGYTGCCATCAACCCAGGGAAAGCTAACAGTCAAAAGAGTTCAGGGATGAGTGTTCAAGCAGCCACCTCAGCACCCAAACCACACAAAGGGTGCTCCAGCTGCATCTTAGCACCCAATGGGCTCAGGGGACAAAGGGGAATTTATTCTCACTGCTGAATAAAACCAACAGAACCTGCTGTCCCGAGGATTAAGGCAGCATGTGCCAGCTCCAAACTTTCCGGCTCGGAAAAGCCTCTGAGGTGGGAGCCCTGAGCCAYTCCACACATTCCAGCMGAGCATCCCTGCCCTGCATCCYAGACAGCCAGGGATATGGGCACTGTGTGCCAGCCGGCTCCAACAGGCTCTAAATCGCATCAGCAGAGAATCCACAGACACTKCACAGCACAAACAGACTGCTGGTTTATCGCCTCAAGGCTGTTATGATTAGCAAAACATTTTATTATCCTGCTCAATGCTACACTGTTCCCCAAACAACAAAAATCCTTCCAATTTACAGCAACTTCCCTCTGCCCATCCCTTATTCCAAGCAGAGTGATGGCGTTTTATTGTCTGGCGATGGAAACCTCAGCAWCCACCCTGCACGGCAAAGGCCTTCAGCTATGAGAGGCTGATTAATTATGAAATTATAATATTTCCCGAGGGGAAAGCTGCTGGCAGGAGACAGGGATGGAGGCACCTACCCCAGTCCCCAGCACCTGGCACCGTGTGCCTGCATCTCAGCAAGGCTCCGACACGTCAGACATGCTGGTGCTGAAATGGGACACGAGCTCTGCACTTCAGAGGGAGCTCCTGACTTTTAATCAATCCACAGAGCTTCACTTTTCCTTAATTACTCTGCAGTCACTGCCGCAGGGGGATAAAGGCAAAACAGCGCAGGTGACACTGCAGAGACAGTGACACTCCCACGGTGGCTCCCCTTGTGCCCTGACTAGAGACTCCACTGTCCTGCTGTCCCCACAGAGCTGGAGGAGGGCTCTGGGGAARCACTGARCTGTCCYCCAGYTCCTCTTGCACAGRRRGGCTGTGRCTGCCCCATCCCTGAAGTGTCCAAGGCCAGGCTGGRYGGAATTTKGAGCAACCCAGTCTAGTGGRAGGTGTCCCTGCCCATGGAARGGGGATGGAACTAAAAGATCYTYAGGATTMTTTCCAASCCAAAMCATTCCATGATTCTGTGATGATTYTATGATTCCTCTCTATGCCTCTGACCAGGACCCTCTAACTCCTATCCCTCATCCAGGGTGTG